AGAGCAGGGAGCCCGACGCAGGGCTCGATCCCAGGACCCGGGGATCATGACCTGAGCCGAAGGCAGACACTTAACAACTGAGCCACCCAGGCACCCCTATATAATTCTTATTTCAAAATTTTGTTGTTTATAGAATGTAAGCTCCCTGAGGGTAGAATTTTGTTCCTTTATCCCCAGTATCTAAAACCCTATGGCCTGGCAAAGGGTAGTGGGCTCTCAATAAATATTTGTTCAATAAATAAATTCAAACACATGGAAAAATAAAACATCCATGATATATTAATCAAAAAATATAGGATACAAAACAGAGTTATCCCAAATTTGTGAAAACAAATAAATATATGCATTAAAAAATCTTAGAAGAGGGACGCCTAGGTGGCTCAGTCGGTTAAGCGTCTGCCTTTGGCTCTGGTCATGATCCTGGAGTCCTGGGATGGAGCCCTGTATTGGGCTCCCTGCTATGCAGGGAGCCTGCTTCTCCCTCTCCTTCTGCCAAATAAATAAAATCTTAAAAAAAAAATTTTATTTCTAAGCAATCTCTACACCCAATGTGGGGCTCAAATTCACAACCCTGAGATCAAGAACTGCACACTCCACTAAGCCAGCCAGGTCCCCTTTGGTAACTCTTTTATAGGTAAAGACTGAATCTCCCTACTATTTATAAAGAGTTACAAAAAAAACCAAAAAAACAAAAAAAACCACCAAAGGAAAAAAACCACCAAAACCTACAAAAAACAAACAAAAACCCCACCCAATAATCCAAGAGAAAACAGGCAAGGGACACAAACAGACATTCCATGGCAAAATCCCCTATAAGTTCCCCTAATAAAGATGCACAACATGGATGAACCTTGAAAAAATGCTAAATGAAATAAATCAAACACAAAAAAAGCCATACTTTATACGATTCCATTTATATGAAATGTCTGGAACATGCAAATCCAGAGACAGAAAGATTAGTGGTTGTCTGGGGCTTTGAGAAATAGAATGTGACTATTAATGGATTACAGGGTATCTCTTTGGGATGATGAAAATTTGACAGTGGTGATAGCTACAAAAGCTTCTGAATATACTGAAAACCAACGAATTGTACACTTTAAAAGGATGAAATTTAAGGCATGTGAATTATATCTCAAAAATAAAACTACTTTGAGATAGAATTCTATCATGTTGGCAAAAATAAAACAGCTGGGAAGACTATGGAGAAACAGATGTTCTCATACATTGTTGTTGGAAGTGGTACAACCTCGGATGGCAATTTGGCAATATCTAACAAAATTATAAATACACCTATCCTTTGACCTGGAATCTCACTTTTGGGAACAATCACATTATTTCTATAATGGACTCAAATGTCCACTGTCTAGGGAATGATTATACCCACTATGGTCTATCTATACAAATAATGAAGAATGCTCTCCCTGTATAGAAACATCCAAGACATTTAAACTGAAAATAGCAACGTATATAAGTGTATATTTAGGCATACCTTTTCTGTAGGGAGGAAAAAAATAGCAATGTGTTTTTGCTTTTATTTGTATAAAGAAACACAAGGGGGGGATGGGCTGGCTCAGTTGGAAGGGCATGGGACTCTTGATTTCCGGGTTGTGAGTTCGAGCCCCACAATGGGTGTAGAGATTACTGAAATGAATAAACAAACTTAAAAAAAAAAAGAGAGAGCCTAAAAGGACACACAAAAAAACTAATAAAAGTACAAGAGGAGAGTAAGGAGGATAGGGTAGGATCAACACTTCTGATCATATTATCTTTTTATTTTTTTAAAGATTTATTTGAGAGACAGAGAGAAAGCGCGTGCGCACACACGAGCAGGGGGAGGGGTAGAGAGAGAAGCAGGCTCCCCAATGAGCAGGGAGCGCAATGTGGGACTTGATCCCAGGAAGCTGGGGTCATGACCTGGGCCAAAGGCAAGACGCTTAACCGACTGAGCCACCCAGGTGCCCTATATATCTTAAAACAAAAAAGAAAATAAAAAATTTTTGAGAGAGAGAGCACATGCAAGGGTAGGGGCAGAGTAAAAGGGAGAGAATCTCAGACTCCCCACTGAGGGTGGAACCCAACATGGGACTTGATCTCAGACCCTGAGATCATGACTTGAGCTGAAACCAAGTCAGTCTCAAACTGACTGAGCCACCCAGGTGCCCCTATATATCTTTTTATATTTTGTGGTTTTTTTGAACCAAATGAATGTACTAGCTTTTATTTATTTATTTTTTTAAGATTTTATTTACTTAACTGAGAGAGTGTGGGGCGTCTGGATGGCTCAGTTGGTTAAGCATCTGCCTTCGGCTCAGGTCACGATCTCAGGGTCTTGGGAGTCTGCTTCTCTCTGTGCCTCCCCCCTCACTCCTGCTCATGCTCGCTCGCACTCTCTCTCAAATAAATAAAATCTTTAAAAAAAAAAAAAATCGAGAGAGTGAGAGAGAAAGCACGAGCCAAGGGAGGGGCAAAGGGAGAGGGAGAAGCAGGCTCCCCACGGAGCAGGGAGCCCAACATGGGGTTCCATCCGAAGGACCCTGGGATCACACCCGAGCCAAAGGCAGACGCTTAACTGACTGAGCCACCCAGGTGCCCCAATATACTAGCTTTTAAAAGAAAATACCTCTAGGGGCGCCTGGGTGGCTCAGTCGGTTAAGCGTCTGCCTTTGGCTCAGGTCATGATCCCAGGGTCCTGGGATCGAGCCCCGCATCGGGCTCCCTGCTCCGCGGGAAGCCTGCTTCTCCCTCTCCCACTCCCCCTACTTGTGTTCCCTCTCTCACTGTGTCTCTCTCTCTCAAATAAATAAATAAAATCTTAAAAAAAAAAAAATACCTCTAAAGGCATTCATTCCATGCCCTACTGAATAAACTAGGCTTGAGATTTTTAAAAAAATCCTATTGTAAACAAATTTTTCTTCAAAAATCCAATGTTTTATGTGTTCATCTTAATTTGTTTTACTTCAAATTGAAAAATTCATTATTTACATTAATTTACACTATGCATTTTCTTTTTTTTTTTTAAAGATTTTATTTATTTATTTGACAGAGAGAGACACAGCGAGAGAGGGAACACAAGCAGGGGGAGTGGAAGAGGGAGAAGCAGGCTTCCCGTGGAGCAGGGAGCCCGACGCGGGGCTCGATCCCAGGATCCTGGGATCATGACCTGAGCCGAAGGCAGACGCTTAACGACTGAGCCACCCAGGCGCCCCTACACTATGCATTTTCATATATGATTTGTTGTTTCCTTTATTAAACCCACTTCCCCTGGGGCACCTGGGTGGCTCAGTCAGTTAAGTGTCCGACTCAGGTCATGATCTCAGGGTTCTGAGACTGAGCCCTGTGTTGGGTGCCATGCTCAGCTAGGAGTATGCTTGAGATTCCCTCTGCCCCTTTGCCCCCCACCCTGCCCCGCTTTCTAAAATAAATAAAATCTTAAAAAACAAAAACAAAGACAAAACTACTTCCCTGGACACTCTCATGTTTGCTCCTCCTCATGCTTCTCTTCAGATGTCACCTCCTGTGCTGAGGCCTTCTCTGACCACCTACCTATAATAACATCCCTCCATCACTTTTTTTTTTTTAAGATTTTATTTATTTATTTGAGAGAGAGAGACACAGCGAGAGAGGGAACACAAGCAGGGGGAGTGGGAGGGAGAAGTAGGCCTCCCGCAGAGCAGGGAGCTCCGCACCCGATGCGGGCTTGATCCCATGACCTGAGCCGAAGGCAGATGCTTAACGACTGAGCCACCCAGGCACCCCCATCCATCACTTTCTATACCTTCACCCTGCCTTTTTCCTTCACTTATCAACACTACCTAACATATTTTTTATTTGTTAATTTGTTCATTATAAGGGCTTTGTTCTTGTATCCCTGGCACTTAGAACAGTGAGCACCTCAGTAAGTGCTCAGTAACTATTCACTGAATGACTTAATAAATTTGAATCTCTGCTCATTGATTTTCCTCAACTTTCTTTTTAAGTATTCTCTATTCCCACCGTAGGACTTGAACTTACAACTCTGACATCAAGAATTGCATGCTCTAGGGCGCCTGGGTGGCTCAGTTGGTTAAGCGACTGCCTTTGGCTCAGGTCATGATCCTCGAGTCCCGCATCGGGCTCCCTGCTCGGCAGGGAGTCTGCTTCTCCCTCTGACCCTCCCCCCTCTCATGTGCTCTCTCTCATTCTCTCTCTCTCAAATAAATAAATAAAATCTTAAAAAAAAAAAAAAAAAGAATTGCATGCTCTACCAACTAAGACAGCCAGGCACCCCTCCTCTGCTTTAAATTGTCTTTCCACAATTTCCTACCTGGAAAAAGTTCATCCTTTAAGATCTAGCTCAAGGTCACTTCAAGTTTCCTTAACCTCCTCAATTAATCCCTCCCCACCGAAAGTCCATAATAATTCTTCATTCCCCCAATATCAGGACTTACGCTATTAAATCAACATTAGTGATACTGGTTTCTTTTACTGAAATACGAGTTCCCTGATGTCTGGAAAGTCCAGGTTTCTTTAAATTTTCTGGACACTTAGCTCCTAGTATGCTGGCCAGGACACAAAAAGCACTCAATGAATATGTGTTGTATTAAACAGAAGATTTGAATGAATTTGTACAAAGTAGAAAATGTAAAACATGTTTACTAATATAATATTTCAGAACAGAATACAATGAATGGTATGAAAGTACAAAATCTGAAAATACTCAGACAGCGGGTGCCTGGGTGGTTCAGTCTGCTAAGTGTCTGCCTTTGGCTCGGGTCATGATCCTGAGGTCCTGGGATGGAGTCCCGCATCGGGCTCTCTGCTTTGCGGCGAGTCTGCTTCTCCCTCTCCCTACAGCTCCCCTTCTTTGTGCTCTCTCTCTCTGTCAAATAAGTAAATAAAATCTTAAAAAAAAAAAACACAAAAAAACAAAACCTCAGAGAAGGGAAAGAGACTAATTCCTATGAATTAAAACGTACAAGCTTTCAATTATACCGGAGAAAATGGTGTGAGTGAGAAGTTGCCTAAGAAGCCTCTTAGACTGAAATATGAGGGAGGATTCTTGGGAAGTAGTTGTAGAGAAGGCTGAACAGGGAAGTCAGACGTCTGTTTGCAGAGGGTCTTAGCATACCACAGAACCTGAAATTAAAGCATGTAAGTATCACTACTTCAGATGTTGTCCACAGACCACCTTCATCAGAATTATCCAGAAGGCAATGTTCAAAGTGCTGATTCCCACGTCCTACTTACAACTCCCACTTCCAGGCTCACAGATTCAGAATCTAACTAATCTTCTATGGTTGAACATTAGGTTGTTCACAGTGGTTTGTTATAATACTCATAACTTTGTACACAAACCCACTTATACACTTAGGATACATTTCTAAAAGAATTGCTGGTCAACAGTTGTAAAGATTGTGGAAATTGTGTGTGTTTACAAGAAAAGGTCAACTTCTTTGCCTACTATATCTCCAAAAATTCTAAAGCCTTTTTTTTTTTTTCCTAAGATTTTTATTTATTTATTTGACAGAGAGAGAGAGAGAGAGAGAGCACAAGAAGGGTGAGTGGCGGGCAGAAGAGAGGGAGAAGCAGGGTTCCCGCTGAGCAGGGAGCCTGATGCGGGACTCGATCCCACCTGAGCCAAAGGCAGACACTTAACAGACTGTCCACCCAGGGGCCCCATAAAAATTCTAAAGCTTTTGATCTGTATTACCAAATTACCCCTCCAAAAAGCTGGTACCTATTTCTATTTCCACTATCAGAGTATGAGAATGCTAGTTTCCTCACTCCCTCACTAATGATTTCAATATATTTTTTAAGAAACAAAGCTTGGGTTAATAGGAGTTTAAACTGTAAGAAGTTTTAGACTACCACAATCACTAGGGGAACGCAAATAAAAACACGAGATACTGGGGCGCCTCGGTGGCTCACATGGTTAAGTCTCTGCCTTCGGCTCTGGTCATGACCCCAGGGTTCTGGGATGGAGTCCACATCGGGCTCCCTGCTCAGTGGGGAGCTGGCTTCTCCCTCTGCCTGGCGCTCCCCCACTGCTTGTGCTCTCTCTGACAAATAAATAAATAAAATCTTAAAAAAACCCAGCAACCCATAAGATACCACATCACACCCATCAAGATGTATATTATATATATATTTTTAAAGATCTTATTTATCTGACAGAGAGAGACACAGCAAGAGAGGGAACACAAGCAGGGGGAGTGGGAGAGGGAGAAGCAGGCTTCCCGCTGAGCAGGGAGCCCGATGTGGGACTCGATCCCAGCACCCTGGGATCATGACCTGAGCTGAAGGCAGACGCCTAACGACTGAGCCACCCAGGCGCACCAAGTATTATACAACAAGAAAAGAACAAGTGCTGACAAAGTTGTGGAGAAAGTGAAACCTTTGTTGGGCCTTGCTGGTGGGAATCTAAAATGGTGCAGTTGCTCCAGAGAAAACAGTATGGTTAAAATTTCCTCAAAATATTAAATATACAATTACCGTATGATCCAGCAATTCTCCTTCAGGGTATATACCCAAAGAAACAAAAGCAGGGACTTGATTCTGTAGATTCATATTCACAGAATTATTCACAAGAGCCAAAAAAAGGTAGAAGCAACCCAAGTGTCTACTGCCAGATGAATAAACAAAATAGGACATTTTGTTAATATACAATGGAATATTCTTCAGCTTTGAAAGGAAGGAAATTCTGACGCATGGATGAACCCTGACAACATTATGCTAAGTGAAAGAAGTCAGTCACAACAGGACAAATGTTGTATGATTCCACTTACATGAAATAGCTATAATAAGCAAATTCATAGAAACAGAAAAAAAATGGTGATTGCCAGAAGCTGAGAGGAACGGGGAACTATGTTTAATGGGTACAGTTTCTGTAGGGAAGATTCTGAAGTTCAGGAGATGGTTGCACAACGATGTAAATTTACTTAATGCCACAGAACTGTACACTTAAAAAAACGGTTAAAATGATAAATTTTATGTTAAGTATATTTTACCACAATAAAAAAGGATAAAAAAAGTTTTAGACTATGGGGTACCTAAGTGGTTCAGTGGGTTAAGGATCTGCCTTCAGCTCAGGTCATGATCCTGGGATCCTGGGATCCTGGAATCCAACCCTAGTTGGGCTCCCTGCTCAGTGGGGAGCCTTCTTTTCCCTCTCCCTCAAATAAATAAATCAAATCTTAAAAAAAAAAGTTTTAGACTAAAATTCATTCATGCAATTGGTACTTACCTACCATCAAGAAGCTCGCAATCTAGTAGTTTATAGGAAATTTACAAACTATAGTTTTTAAATTTTCAAAAAACATTTTTTTAAACTATAGTTGTATTCAAGAGGTAGTTAATGCGCAGTTATATATGCTAAGCAACAGAGGACGAGGGGAAGCTAACTACAATCATCTGTTAAAGTTTAAACATTTTATACTGTAGTGACACTACAGGGAAATGCTTTACTTTTCAGTTTATCTCATTTTTTCCACTGCAAGCTCTTTACTATTATGTGGGCCACAAAAACAACCGTTAATCCAAAAATATCACTTTCATATATGTATCTTTGGAAATGACTCTCTAGTACTCATGTTAACAAAGCTCCCAAGGGTTCCAGATCAACAACTAAAAAACCCAGTAACTTGTCCCTCGTCAATTTTTAATCTTACTAAAGTATTATAACCAGGAAATGAGAAATTTTAAGGTAGGTAGTGCTATTCTAAATGTTTTGCAAATCCAACAACCAAGTCCAAATGGGTCAGAGCCAAGTTTTAATCTCCTTCTAATTAAAAAAACAAACAATACCCCAAACCTATCATATACAGATTTTAAAAATCTTAATTTCTTTTTTTTTAAATAAAAACAAAGTCCAGGATGAACTAAAATTAATTTTCTAGAATAGTCAAGGTTAGAATTCCTAACCTTGAATTTTATGAAACCAAGATGAAGTAAGCACTGAACTAGGAGCCAAGAGATTCTAACAGGCACTTCAGGAATAAGTATTTCTTTCCATTTTTTCATTTGTAAAATAAGTGGAGAATATCAAATGATTTCTAAGGTCCCGTCTATTAACATTTGATGGAAATCACCTCAGGCAGAATAAAATTCATAAAAACAAGCAACAAATTAAGTAGAATTCAGAACCCTGTGGGAGAAGGAAAGAGGTGAGATAACTGCAGTGAAATACAACAATAAGATGTCCAATTGTCAAAAAGGCACTTCCCAAACAGCCATCCCAGAAATCTGTGGTTGAATCAAGCTAAAAGATTTCAATATTGACTCACCATCTGGGTATCCCAGATCACAAGCCGAGCAATCCACTAAGAATCCTGCTAGTGACTCACACTCCTGAATGAGACCGCTTCATGTGCAGAGACAAGGAATCAATTAAAGGGTTTACAATGAAGTTTTGTTTAACTGGAATGTTTTAAGTGGAAGTTAATTCTGCATGAGTGATAATAGATGTTTAATAACTACCTAGTGACAATTTCTAAGCAAAAGCATTTTGGCAGCTCACTAGCAAACAGTAATCTATGTATTACAAACATAAAAACAACTTGTTTTCAAAAGAGCTCTTGGCTATGGACAGTATTTGAGAAATACAATATAATTTGTTGTGAGTCAAATTATAAAACCTAGTGGAGAGAAAGTAGTTTGAAATCTTGGCTCTATTAACCAACAAGGAAACAAAATACATCACTGTGGGGTGAAGTGTCAATTTGTGCTGGCAAAAAGCCACTCTATTTGAATCTAAGAACCTTCAGGAACCAGCTGGAGAAGTATGAGGAACCTGGGATAATGCATTCATTCATATCCTAAGTGGTACTGTCTTCATGTAAAAAAGGACAGTATTGGTACACTTTTCCAAAATAGCCTGAGTTTAGGTCAAATCAACTGTCTGAATAATTATCTGTCTAGGAGAATAAACACATCTAAGGCAAAATAAAAAATGTGTAACATTTCCAGTATGACTAGGTTCACAACATAAAATTTGCAAAAAAAATACGATCATCCACTGATGGTGAGGGCAGTCTAGTACAAGCTCTCCGGGAGGTACTGTGGTTAACATTTATCAGGAACTTTAAAGTGTTTATATCCTGGGGGGCCTGGCTGGCTCAGTCAGAAGAGCATGCGACTCTTGATCTTGGGGTCATGGGTTTGAGTCCCAGGCTCGGTATAGAGATTATTTTTTTAAACCACTTTTTTTTTTTT